CTAGATAGCGCCGCGCCACTTTAGTTGACAGTTTTGTGGGGTGCAAAATTGAGGCGCATCGGTGTGGCGAAGCGGCCGCGGCGCGCGGCGTGACTCCTGACGTGGAGCCGGGACACAACGCCGGAAATTAGGCGTCGAATGAAGTCAAATTTGAAGCTTCTACAGACACTGAATTACTTTGACGCCTAATTTCCGGATTACGGTAGCCCCGGTGCTTTTTGAATTCTATAATTCTGTCTGATGAATAGCTTGATTTGATCTATGCGTGGCATGATTTGCACAATCTAGCAGAGCTGAGCTTAATAATCAGGTCGAGCGAGAGGCGTGTCACACCATCTTGAGATACGACCCCTCCCCTTGGCTTGTGTTTGAACCGTTTCCTACCGTGTGCACAAGAAAGAGAAGCTATCTAGCAAAATTAGAAGTCAGAAATTTTACGAAGCCCCTTTTGACCATTATCGAAACCTATCGGTTTCGGATAAAATGGAAACAAAAACGTCACTAGTCTGAAAGGAATAAAGTGAATTGAGAGTAAAAACTCAAAGTGGAGCTAAATATCACATGCACAGGAGTTTGGCATTGCGGCGCAATATCTAACAGAGCGATTTGTGAAGAAATTAAGGCAAAATCAAAGGAAAAGCAACGAAAGAATTCCCCATGCTGGACAGATTCGTGACCGACGAGTCCGTCCATGCTAGAAAAATCCAAAAGCTATGTGGGCTTACAAAAATATCTCAGATAGTGTAGTGCCCATCTGGACAGAGTAATTTTGGAAAAGGTATTAGTTCACGTAAGTTTCTAGGACTTGTCACATATTCTCTTAAGCCCGTGCTGCACCTCCGCCGCAGACTCGCACTGGCTTCTCTAACTATGGTCTTCCTCCCGCTCTCATGATGTTGGCTCCGGAACTCACCGCGCGATGCTGACCATCATAAACGAATCGTAAATAACTACTCATTCCGTGAACTTTCTCTTATAGCGGTAACTTTGGACAGAGAAAATCTTTGTGGAAAAGGTCGAAAGAGAATTTCGGTCACTTACAACTATGATCGGGTAATTTCCATAAAGGATCACTTCCGTCACCCACATTTCTGAGCAAAAAACTTCACAAATAATTGGGTGATAGCGTCACAAATTGGCGACCCACGCAATTAATGCAATTATTGCTTAAAAATAGACATTTTCCTTACTTTTACGGGCTTATGCCCAGGGTCTGCGCGTTTACTTGTTGAGCAAATTTACAACTCCGCAAAGAGTACAATCACCGATTCACTTTGGTGCGCCAAAAGCTGCGTGGACCCGTTTGACGCGCAGTTTTCAAAGGTTCCAATTATCGGATCGGCTTGTGCTGTTGCTCCTGCATGCTGATAGGGTACAATAGACAAAATCTCAGCTAAAGATCTTGACTACAACTGGAATTTCGTGGCACCAGACAAATAGACAGAGCTTAACGTTTTATTATAAGTCGTGATAATAACCTATGATTACATTCCAAGTTTGGTGTCGTATGCTTGCTGTAAACAAGCAATTCGTTAATTTTGGCTTTGCTTTGAAAGCGCGCGTTTCGCATGACGGAGCATGTCCATCTCGTAATAATCTGTCTTAAACGGTTGTGCTTGACTGGTCGCTTTTGGCACTACAAGAAGTGTGCTGAATTCTCTTGCACAGCGTATGTGCGATTTTTTCACAAACTCCGCCAGTAACACGTGTAAACAATTTTTTTGCAAGCGCTCCGGACCCCGCAATAGCGGCATCCCACTTTTCCTTTTGAAGAAAACGAAGTCCAGCCTGCTTTCATTCGATCTGCGGCGGGCCCTGTGCTTAGCCCACTTTCCAATTTTAATGGTCATTTTTCAGCGATCATTTTTCAGGCAAGTAATGACGAATCAGTCTTAAATCAAAATCATTTTCATGGAAACTACGAGATTCAGACAATTATACACAAACCTCATGGTTTTCACAAAACTGATTTGAACCAAATTCGTCTTCACTTGTCTCAGAATGATCGCTAAAAGGATAACCACCAATATATCAATAAAGTAGCCTTTTGCATTGACAAAAGGGGGTAGCTAACTCAGCATCAAGACAAAGTTAACATCTTTGAAAATGAGCATTTCACCTGAGTAGCATAGTATTTGGAAACTTTAGAAATCGCTGAAACTTATCCTTTCACAGTCATATTGGTATGATCTAACTTTGCATGTGAGACTTAGCTGAGAAGCATTAGAATGTAACATAGGTCTTGTTACAGCTTGAGTTCTTGCGGCAACAAGTCGCACACTCCGTATTCTTAATATGACTTAAGGGCACCAAAGAGCAAAGCAAGCTCTACAAAAGGTTTGCAAAAGTTCGCACCAGTTTCGACCTACCGTAAGTTCACATCCAGAATCTAAGTTATACTGAAGGCTCAAAAAAATAGAGGAGAATTTATATCTTTGTTCAAACAAATACTACTAATCTCCACCTTGCTTATACATATTGCACACCACATCAAACACTCATATGTACCGTTCCTGTATTTTTTCCTCATCTATAAATTGAAAAAAAAACAAAAATTTTCAAATTTCTAAAAAACAAAGCTACGATGTTTCCATTCATGTAATCGTATAGTACAAGTCCTTATTAGTCTGACCGTAAATTTTTAGCTCTTAATAGGTTCTCGAAAAGTACCAAATTTAGCTTTCTTCACTTTCTTCACTTTCTTCATCGTGTTTCCATAGCAAAATTAATTTAATACAGGGTGGCCCAAAAGTATGTATACACTATTTGATCGTTAATATCTTTTTTTACCAAAGAATCTTTTACCTACCTTAAAGTACTCTTTTGTAGAGCTGGCTTCAACTTAGATTAACAGTATAAAGCGAACCACCGATCGCTCTTCGGTACTTTAGGATTATGGTAGGAACTTTTGGCTTACAGCCTCACTGTGGATTAGTTGAATTTCAAAAAAGGTTTCCAAAAATTCTAAAAATTGGCATACTAGGAGTTTTACGAGCGATACTTTCATTACTCAACTCTTTAGGAGTTTCTAAAGCTTCTCAAAGGGTGTGATTGCAGTTTTAGAGAACATAGTAAAAACAGCTATTACGGTTTACGGGGCGTAATTTATGAAGGAACGTTGCGGTCAAATGCAAAACACATTTGGCTTTAGCGACTTTGATTAGCCTAGTGCAAAAATCACCAGATTGTTTGGTTTGCTTTGTAAGGCGAAATAGGGCTCTTAATGGCTCAAAACCCTTCTTGAATTTCCTACCGTAATCCTAAAGTGGTGAACGAAAACAGTTGAGTCGCTTATACTGTAAATCTAAGTTGAGGCCTGCTCTACAAAATGCTACCTGAAGGCAGGCAAAAGACTTCTAGGGAAGAGTGATATTAATAATCAAACAGTGTTTACATACTTTTGGGACACTCTGTCTTTCTCGAAAACGGCCTGTGAAAAGCTGAAAATTTACGGTTATACTTCTAAAGAGTTGTAGTGTTCAGTTACATATCGTCGAGTCACTTATAACTTGATAAGTGAGCCTGCACACAAAGCAATTCAACGGACGGCACCTTTATCAATCCTAGATAAAACTTTTTCTAGCGTAACATAGTGTGAGTGCGTACTAACTAATACATATCCAAGCGAACCAAAGGAGACAAGGAAACAAGGTGAAATCACGGAAATAAGCAGGTTCTAATCTTATAGGTTCGTCAAATAGCGCACATGTTGTGAAGTACACATATTAAGTTAAGAGAATGACTCGAGATTAAGTTAAAACAGCATATTTTTTGTATAAGCGCGAAAATTTTCCTTCTCTTGAGTTTTAAATGAGGAAAAACTACAGAAACAGTACATATGAGTGTCTTATGTGGTGTGGTGGGATTTTTTTTCGAAGAGGTGAGTTTTCCCGGTTTTTGAGAAATCAGTACAACTCAGATTCTGGATGCAAACTTGCGGTGGTGGGTCGAAGCTAGGGCGATTTTGCACATCATCTTGTAGGGTTTGCTTTGCTCTTTCGAATGGAGCCCTGTCAAAACTATGAAGTGCACGGCTTATCGCCGTAAGAAGTCAAGGTGTAACAAGACTTATGTTACAACCCAGTATTTTTTTTTCATCTTGATGAAGTGTCTTTCATATCAGTAAGTGTGAGGATTCATATAATTCGTAGCTCTATGTATCATCTTATATATAAAGTTGAATGTCTGTTTGTATGTCTGTATGTCTGTATGTCTGTATGTATGTCTGTATGTACGTATGTTCCGAATAGAAAATTCCATTTCTGAACCGATCGGGACCAAACTTAGCACACATACACTTCGGGCCCCGGCGGGTGTCATAGGCTACTTTTCGTCATTGATCGACATCGATTTTATCGATTTTTTGCAAAATTTGAGCTACGGGGCTGGGAGTAATGCACAGGGGGGTAATCGAGCATGCTGATCACCCCCACGGGGGTGATCAGCAGATAACGAAAAGTGGACTGTGACACCCGCCGGGGCCCGAAGTGTATGTGTGCCTAGTTTGGTCCGGATCGATTAAGAAATGGAATTTTCTATTCGGAACATACGGCGGAGCCGGGTAAGCCAGCTAGTGCTCTATATTACCAGATTCATTTTTTGAAAACTACGCTCCAAAATGGGTGCTACGTCAAACGATATCCTCCGCCAACGTCAGGGCATCCTGCGTCAAAAAAATCATTGCTCCTATTTTTTTTGAGAACCAGTGGCCGTATTCATCAACGAACCCAGTGGGTTCCGGAACCCACTGGGTTCGTTGATGAATACGCCTACAGAATGCGTCTACGCATGTTTGCAAAAGGTCTATACACCAACACCCAACATTTTACCTAATTTGAAAGAGTTATTTTGGGACGGACTGTTGATTGTTTACAATACAAAGTATATTACTAAAAAAATCCTCCTAGTGCGTAGTCCATGTGTGATAATCACGTCATTTTTCTAATGTCTTTACAAATTTTTCGAGTATGCTAATTAGCGCTCTGCATCTCTTTTTTCAGTGTTGCTTCTAATTACGTGATTAAAATCACCCCTAAGTAAGTTATCGCTCCTACTCGCTGGCATCAGCTATTCTTTTACGATGGTTTACAAATGTGCTTTTTAGAAGCTTGTTATACGCTGTCTTGATAGTTGGAGTATTCATGATGTTGTTTGTTATGATGCTATCTATTAAATGTTGCCAAAATCGAAGAAATGCTCAAGCCTTAAGAGGTCATAAGCTCAAAGAAGGAAGACGAAAATCCAGAAAACACAGACACACCGGTACGCTAACTTAATACGACTAATCCCTTCAATATTTCCTTACAAACCTCGCTGGAAGTGCAACGCTTCTCACAAGGAGATCAGAGGGGACTTTGTCAGATTTTTAATCACGAACAAAGAAGTAAACAAAGAGCGCAGACACAATGTAAGTCATGTACACTGTTTTGAAAAGATTATTTTAGAGTCTATGGACGATGAGGAGAGATCTGAAGGGATCGACGATGAAGAGTACAGTCTACCAGCTTTCGAACACAAACAACAAAGACGCAAACAAAAACATGCCAGTGCGTAAAGTGAAGCGTGGTCAATTCTCAATTTTTTGCATAGGGTTTTCGGAAGATGAGAAGAAATCTCCCAGGAAGGAAGCAGTCACTTCATCGATCCCAACACCTAACCATGTAAGATTCGGAGTAAGGTTTGGTGCACACGTGATAGGCAAACATAGCATACTCAAAAACTAGTTTCAATGTGTGTTGAAGTGCTGCCTATCATTCTGTTTTTGGTCACAAGGCGCAAAAGCCTTACTCCTGCTATACCAACTACACTCGAGTAGATAGGACGACTCATCTGCAGTTGCACTACTATTGGAAAAGATGCAATTGGGCAACATAAATATTAGGTTGTACCAAATTTTCGTTCGCACCATTTTCAAAAATTCATAATTCTTCTGCTTTTTTTTTCAACCGATTGATGTGTTTCCATTTTTATCTGAAAGAGCAAGTCATTCTCTTCATAGCGGTATCTGGCGGCGTTCTATTGAGCATGCATTGCATGGATATGAGCGGTAGAAGAAAATTACTCAAATTTTGAATTTTCTGTGTAGGATTATAAAAAATCTGAAACATGCGGTGAAAAACAGAGCAGTCAGTATTATAGGCTCTTTCACTAGCTCTTTTCAACAGTGCAAAGTTTGCGCTGATTGAGCTCTTCTGTGAAAAAAACACGACTTTCCTGAAAAATGCCAAAATAAATCAAATTCGCCCTTTTGTATTGCTTGCTCGAAAGTCATAACCTTACATAGAGACGCGTTATCAGCGCAAACTTTATACTATTAGAAAGACCTGACGAAAGAACCTATAATACTGACTGCTCCGATTTTTACTGCAGGTTTCAGATTTTTTATGACCTTACATAAATCAAACTTCGAGTAATTTTTTTCAACCGCTGATATCTATGCAGTGTATGCAAATTCGATGAATGGCTTGCTCTTTTCCCGATAGAAATGAAGACACGCAAATCGGCTGAAAAGAGCAGAAGTTACGAATTTTTGAAAATGGTGCGAATGAACTTTCGGTACGACCTAACATATTCATCACTGCAATCCAATGGCAGTACGGTATTGATCTTGCAGACATTTTTGTGCACATCATCCCCGCGATGAATTGGGAATATTTTTTTGAAACAGAATCATATAAGTAGAGGCTGATGTGTGTTCAGTTGCTTCTACGACGAAAGCGACTGTTTTCCAATTTTTATTGTATCAAGTTAAAAGTATGCCTTTCTTGCAACATGTATTACTTTTAGAGAGTAAAATCCACATAATGTATAGATACGCATTCAACAGTGCGATATATGGGTGTACCGCACAGATACTGCGCTTAGCTGCAGTAAAAGACTTAACCAGTCCGATCCCCTGTAGTTTGGACAGTTCTGCTCTGAAAGTCTAACAAAAAATGGAAGCAAATTTTGGTTAAAGTCCATAATGTTACCCGTTATGTTTCCCGTGATCTCTTTATTATGATCCTACTTGAGTGCTGCTCAACCGCTGTACACGGTGCGGCATATTCCGCCCAATACCGCACAGAGGTCAAGTGGCGTACCCGGAAGTTCCGTTGACAAAAAAATCTCTGACGAAGATGCGTGGCCTTAGCCACGCACTCAGACAATTTTTTGGTATGCTCCCCAAAATTTTCGAGGGTCCATAACCCCGAAGTTACAGAAAAGGGACGTGGAGTGAGCCATCCTCTCGAAAAAAACTCTTCATAAGGCCAAATTAAAATCTTGAATTTCAAATTTCATTTTAATCATTTACAATGAAACAACTCACCTGTACTTTTTCATAACTCATTTAAGTAAGTTTAAAAATTTCACTCTCTCAAGGAAGGGGGAAGGAACTTCTTCTCCCCTCGATACGCCATTGGCGAGGTCCATACTGTAATATATGGTATAGTAATAAATTAGATAAGCATTATTACGAAAACACAGTGGAAGCAGGAGCAAAAAAATAAATTTTGCTCAAACGAAATTTGTATTTTGAATTCTCATCGAATTGCCTTTGAACATACCAGTCAAAAAAATTTTTGCAACAATGGTCTTGGCAGCAAAATCGATCAAAGTTATTTATCAGCATGATAGTATAGGCTTTGAAGGCAGTGGACAGGCAGGATGGGCCCTTCTCGGATTTTGGTGATTTAGGAAGTAGACTCCCCAAGCACACTGTAGCCCAAACCCCACCTGCCAACTCATGCGCTAAATCCTGAAGAATGCGCTCCAGAACTCCACTAGCACCGCCCATTTCCATGAGTGGGCGTGGCTGGTGGAGTTTTGAAGCGCATCTTCCAGGACCTAGCGCATGAATTGGCAGGAGGTTTGAGCTACAGTGTACTTAGGGGGTCTACTTCCTAAATCGCCAAAATCCGAGAAGGGTCCATTCTGCCTGTTCACTGCCTTTGACTCTTTAACTGTAGTGTGCTATTGCGCGAGGCAGCGTACGTAGATTCCATGAACAAGAAAATCTTTAAAAACATTAGGTTGTCCCATAAGTCTTTTCATTTTTGAATTTTCGCTGTAATAAGTCACACACTTCGTACTCTTAATAAACATCAGGATACCATTCGATAGAGCAAAGCAAGCTCTATAAGATGGCGCTTACGCTTTCGCACAAGCTTTGGTCTATCTCGAGTTTTAAACCAAAATCTAAAAAGTTTCGGATGGCCAAAAAACCGAAATTTTTTTATATCGTCGTTCAAAAAAAATCCTACAAACCTCAAACTTGCTCACGTATAAATATTTCACATCAGACATTCATATGTGCTGTTGCTGCATTTTTTTATCAGCTAGAAATCAAGAAACCGAAAATTTTCCTGTTTTTACCATTTGCTCTATCGAATGGTATCCTGATGTCCATTTAGAGTAAGAAGTGTGTGACTTATTATAGCGAAAATTCAAAAATGAAAAGACTTATGGGACAACCTAATACAATGTACTGAGGACTTAAACAAATGTTATGTCAGAAAACTGCTGGTGTTCCCTTAACATATAATCAACGGCGGGAAAATCATGCATTGGAAAATCAAGTGAGATTGCTTCATTGTTCCAAAAGCGTTATCCAATATAATAACTGTATCAGGCGATCCCTGCTCAAGAGCACGCTACTAACACAACGGAAACGCCTAGAGGAAGTATACGAGCATCTTTGATGGTAAGCTCACTTGATTTTTGAAAAACAAAGCGCGTATGTTGTATGAATTTCAATGGCTTTTTCCTGCAAAAAATTTGCAGGTTCAACAAAATCTTCATCAGGGTCTTGCTAAGGTTTTCTCAAACATGCCTCAGCAGAAAGGTCATTCATTGGAAAAACAAGTAGGAGTAATTTTTCGAGCATATACCGACTATTCAGTACGCAATAACGTTTTCAGGTGTCTAATCAAAAGCGTGCCGAAGTTAAAACGGAGAAGGGATTGAAAGGATCCAAAGAAAGCAGAGAGATAGTTTCGAAAGTAAATTTTGATTATTTCGGGAGGCGTGACAGGGTTAATGGGAATAGAAATTTTCGTAGGTTACACCTTATCAAGATCGTACTCGAGTAGGGTCTAAGGAAGAATCCCGAGACAGTGCAGAGAAAAAAGTGAGGATATATAGTTATTTTGACTAAAGGAAGCAAAGGCGATTTTTAGACGATAGAAAGTGCGAAAGTCAAAAGCAAAGAAAGACCTAAGGAATTTGATCAGCGCAAGGTAAAAATGTACTGTGAAACTAGTATGGAGCAAAGTATTTAGGACAACTTTGCAAAAGTGGTGCAAAATCGAGAGCATGCTGAAGAGGATAGTGATGGAGAATTTCGAGAATCTGTGGAAGGAATGATGGAGGCAAGAGTTAATACTTTCTTGCGTGAGAATAATCGCGCAGCATGTCTCATTCCCTAAGTTAGAAAATCTAAGTTTTTGACTGTATTGCGCCTGTAAGTTCTGTGTGTTACTGTTTCTTAGGCTCCATGAGCACCAGGGGCGATTTCAGTAGCTAAGCGATTTAGCCATCTACCAGCTTCCTCGAACGCTCATAACTAATGTATAGTGTGTGCAAACTAGTGTAAATTTGTACGATTTATTGCGGTCAGAACTAAAACGGATGGGACTTGCGCGACAGTCATTACAGCCTCTTATACGCTCGCAGGCTGCGAGTCACAGTACAGAGCGACCAACGATCTCTCTTCATTACTGTAGGATTACTGTAGAGACTTCGAGAACAATGTAAGGACATTAAAAGCCATATCTTGTTTGAGAAAAACTAGACAAATTAAAAGCTTTTAATCATGCTAAGAAGTCGCTGATTCAGATATGAAGTTCGCATTTTACACAAACGCTTCTTTCATACATTATTTCAAGTTACCGTGATAACCTTCTTCAGCAGTTTCTCAGAAGTGCGATTTCACTACAGAAAAAGCATAAGGAATTCTTTGGAAGTTTGTATGAAATCAGCATGTATGAAAACCCTGCTACACAATTTTCCAGATTTTCTGCAAAAAAAAACCTGTCAGACGGCTCATTCCCAATGGGTTTGTGCTGAAAACTCTTACCGTGATTCTACGGTCACGAAAAACGATTGATGGGAGATGGCCCTTCCGAACCCACTGTCTCCTACGGTAACCCCGCAAGTAGGACGGGGCGCCTGCGCTGCGGCCATTGCGGACGAGTCTTCTTCAGAACGCTTTATTTTCGAAAGTCTTCAGCGCACCTCGAGGTTTCCCTTTCCAGCCTTCAGGTCTGAACGCAATAATAACACCTTATCATTCCCATTTCGTGATGCTGCTATTCGCTCCATTTTGCTATTCTACGGCCTAACTTTATCCTAATCGTATCAATCAGTTTTGTTTTTAGAAACTTGTTTTGAATTTTTTGAGTAATAATATGAATGGTTTCTCATCTCATTTTGATTATTTTTACTGCCACATTTTGTTTGTGTGCATAATTTCTGCTTCATGCATTGTTAGACGTTTAAACGTTGTGAAATGCATGATGCGTCGAAAGGAAAGCACACGCGACCCGACCCACAATTCAAAGTACATCAGATGGTTTTCTTTGACTTCTGCAGGATACCTAATGATTTGTAGTTTCTGCTCTAAACGACT